GGAAAGAAAGGAAGGGGCAGGAGGGAGGGAAGGAAGAAGGAAGGAAGGAAGGAAAGGAGGGGGCGGGAGGGAGGGAAGGAAGGAAGGAAGGCAACCAAGAAGCTTCCTTGCCTTAAAAAGTCACCTCAGTGGCCCAGATGTTTGCTTCAGTTCCTCTGGCAATCCTGTGGGAGACCCTCACCCAGATGTGCTCAGTGGGAATTGCAACAGACCTGAAGGGGCCAGTTGAGTCAGGTGGCCCCAGAAGCCGCTGCTGTTCTTGGTGGGGCTCTTACTCCTCCCCCCCCCCAACTTTACACAGCTCCAGTTCTGGCCACAGCCTGGCCGGCTGCCACTTACCAGGGTGTCCACCCCCAGGGTGAAGAGCATCAGGAAGAACAGGATGGACCAGAAGAAGGAGCCGGGCAGCAGAGCCAGGGCCTCCGGGTAGGCCACAAAGGCCAGTCCGGGTCCTGAGGAAAGAGCCAGGGGTCACTCAAAGCCCACCGCCTGCTTCGGCCAAATCGGGGCACGCCAGCAGGCAAGACGGGGTTTGGAGATGGAGAGGAGCGGTGGGGCGGTGGGTGGGGCCCCTCTTCACCCAACCCTACGCTGCTCAGCCCCTCTTCTCCGAATGGCCTGCCCCTGCCCCTGCCCCCCAGGAAAATAGGGGTGCCAAAACGGCCTTTGCTCTCAGGACCACCGTCGAGCCGGGCTTGAGGAGCGTCGAAGGTTTCCAGGACAGCCCTGGAGATCTCAAACCCTCGGAGAGGCAACGGGGGGGGGCACCCAAGGGGGGCTTCCCAACACCCTCCCTACCTGAATCGGCCACCCTTCCGACCGACACCTTCTTCCGCCAGGCCATGTGCCCCAGGACGGAGAAAATGGCAAAGCCGGCGAAGATGCTGGTGCAGCAGTTGCCAATGCCGATCACCAGCGTGTCTCTGGGGGCGGAGAGAGAGAGAGAGACTCGTGGGGCTGAACAAGGGGGTGGCCGGCTGTCCTCTGGGCTGTGGGCTCCTGCGCTGATACACATCCCCCCCCATTGCTGGATCCCAGGGCTTTGTCTTCCCCGACCCCCAAAAGTTTCCCATAGCAAGAATAGGTTGTGACGCTGGGCCTTTTGAGGCCAGAGACCCCCCCAAAGTTTTTTCCCAGCGTGGCAGATCTGGGCAGACCTGGGATTCGGGCCAGGGAGCCGGTGGGCCCCCCCCAGGGCTCACCTGATCACGTTATTGTCAAACTTGTTGTAGGAAGCCATGGAGAGCAGCCCCCCGAAGCCGATGCCCAGCGAGTAGAAGATCTGCGAGGCCGCGTCGTTCCAGACCTTCTCCACGGGAGAGAAAGAGACAGTCTGGGTTCCTCTCTCTCTGTTGACCCCGCCACTTGCACCCTCGTTTACTAACGTGGACTGAGAAGCCTGGTTACTAGAGGCATCAACCCAGCATGTAAGGCACAGTTGGTGCCTGCAGAAATACGGAAGGCTGAATTCTGGCTCACAGAACGTGTGAACTCAGTTAGTCGTGGGTTACTCAAAAAAC